GGTGTTGCTGTGAATAATGAATCCACACTTAAAACCCAGCTTTACATCATCGAAGGGCAGTCCCCGCCCTGGGCAGCCGGCAGGGCGCACGGCTCAGCTGGACAGGTGGGCAGCAGCCCAGGCCCTGGGGGAGCCGGAGCTGGGGGTGCGGGGGAGGGCCCCTGTCCCCAGACCTCATGGGAGCAGGGGTGCCGGCTGGGTCCCAGGGCCAGAGCGGGCTGGTGCAGTGAGCCAAGGGGACACAGCAAGGGGAGAGGGCACGACGCCCAAGGTGCCACTGGAAAGAGCTGGAAGCCCACGCTCTGTCACGCGGTCCCTTACCCGGAGCTCCAGGTGGTCAGAGTGGCACAAACGTTCTTACCAGTGGGAATGTGGGGGCGAGGGATGGGCAGCAACTGAGCCCCAGGTTGTATGTAGGGGCTCCCCAGGACCGTCAGCACCACCCTGCACACCTGGCCATGTCTGGCCAGGGGCTCAGGCTGTCCATGTCCCTGTCTCCTGCTATCCTGACCCCAGCAGGAAGGTCACCACTCCCTGCCTGTCTGAGGAGGTGGCATCCACTGCAGGGAGGCTCACTTCTGGGTCCACCCACTGGGCTCCTGGGCTCCCAGGTGATGTCACCTGTCCCACCCAGTCCAGAGCCCAGCCCTGCACAGCACAGGAGACACACCTCCTCCAAAGGCCCCTGGCTGCTCACTGCTCCACTGCCCTTGACAACACTGTCAGGCTGGACTGATTGATGTCTGAATAGTCACGTGGCACCTCAGGCAGGACTAGTCATTAATATTCTAGGAAGAGTGGAGCCCAGGTCCTCGCAGAACGAACAGCCGCCAATGCACAGCTGGAGGGAGTGTGGCTTGGGCACTGCAGACATGCCCGTCAGCCTGGGCTTCCTTCAGAAGGGTGGGGGCATGATTGCCACCTCCAGAGGGTGGGGAGCCTGTCATCCCCTGCTTAAACCTCATCTTTCTGGGCGCCAGGCCTACACTGCTCCCCACCCTTCTCTGGGTGTTTGCCCCACGCCCTTGGTCTCCTGTACGCTGAGGAAGGACTCCTTTTTCCACGCACGCCTTTCACAGGACCCACTCCACAACAGCACGGTCCCCTTCCTGCCCCAGTGTGCACCCCGCCGCCTGTCATTCTGGGCTTCCCACTGCAGTTAGGAGCAAACCAAACCCATGCTGGGCCCTTGGGGTTCAGGCTCACACCCTGCCCCCCTCCAGCCCAGGTGGATCCCAGCAGCTGGCTGGGCCCCACCACTTTCATCCTGCAGCTGCCCAGGCCTGGGTGGCAGGTGACTAGGGTTAGTGGGCCAGCCGGCCAGCCGGGGTGGAGGGACTCTGTCTCCAACCTGGGCTCCCAGGGCACTGAGTGCTGCCATCTCTTGGCTGAGGGTGCACTTTCTTCCTGGGGCCCACAGTGCTGAGCTCCCCACAAGCCCTCCTGTGGGGCCTCTCCTGCAGCAGACCGCAAATGCCACTGAATGGGGGTGCCTGGTGGCAACAGCCCCGCCCCCAGCATCAGTCTGCAGTGTGGGCCACACACCGAGAGCACAGCAACCCTGCCAGAGGCCCCGGGTGACACAGCTGCCAGCGTGCCTGGGCACACTGCCCGGCTGGGGCTGGGGGCGGGGCACGGCCACAAGCTGCTGAATCAGCGCACCGGTATGTCCCAGTATGTCCCTGTCCCCTCCCAGGCAAGGATGCTGGTAAGGCGGGTGCTCCTCAGGGAGCCAGCCAGCCTCAGGGGGAGGGGGGTTCCCGCATGCAGCCTGGTGCACAGTGGCAGCCAGCCTCCCTGGGCTCGTGGGGCTGGGGCAGCACAGGGGGCCCTTTGCAAACACACCAACAAGGGAGAGCCGGAGAGACTCCGCTGCTGCAGAGGGAGCAAGCACATGCCCTCCCAGAAAGTGCCCAGTCAGCACCAGTGCCTGCCATCCACTCCCTCCCTCATCCAATCACAGGCTGGAAGTGACAGGGACCTTCTCAAGGTCAGAGAACATCAATACCCGCGGGTGAGCCCCTGTCCTCCTCCTCCTCCGCAGCAGCAGCAGCGCTGGGGTCACACTGTCTGGGCCATCCTCTAGGGAAGGGGCTGTGCCCCTCCCCCGGCTCTCTAGCTGACTACCACCACCCAGGACAGGGAGGTGGGGGGGACACAGGGGGGCTGCCAGAAGCAGCTGCAGGGACAAAGGGCATCTCCAAGGCCACCTCATCCACCCCTGCCTGGGCCCGAACAGCCCCCAGACTTTCTCAAAGAAGCCTCTGCTTTCTATAAATACCCAAAGCACCAGCCCTCTTGCCATTGTACACCCCCACCCCCACCCCACCCTGGCCGGCTTTGGTTTATTCTCCCGCAAGCACCACCCCAGGTGCTCTCCTCCTGCCCGGTCATCGCCCAACCCCACTGTGACCACCTTCCCTTCAGGGTCCCCGACTCCCATGCCCAGCTGCTGCTCCTGTGCCCTCAGCAGGTTTCCTTTTGTGGTCACCGCGCAGACTTGGGTCCAGGCCTACCTGTTCTCCTCCACCCTCCGGGTTGAGGACAGGACTTGGGCAACCAGCTCCTGACCCCCAAATCAACAACAGCCCACTGCCACCATCGCCGTTCAGGTGCTGTCACCACCAGGTGGCAATGCCAGCTCCAGAACCTTCTGGCATTCTAAGTGTGCTCCAATGGCCTTTCTGTCCTGGCGTGCACTGGTGACTGGCCTCACCCCTCCCGTGTCACTGGGGTCTGAGTTGCCAGCTCCCCTGCATCACCTCCCTACCTGTCACTTCCCTACCTCGAAGGAAGAAAGGCAGCTGGGCTTTTTAGTCCAGGCCACAGGGGGGGGGGAGCAGCTGAGGAGGGGAGAGTTGCAAGGATTAGACCTGTCTGCTAAACCAGCCTCCACCCCTTGCAGTTGCTGGTGTGACTAAGACCCCTGTGTCGGGGCCCCTCCCACAGCCCCTGGAAGCCCCCAGAAGCTGTCAGTCCCAGTTTTTCAGGGAGATGTGGAGCCCGTGACGAACAAGTAACTCTGCCCCCACAGAAAGCATTTTAGTGGGAATGCCCACGGCCGGAGAGGCCGCCCTCACATGTCCCCTCCTGGGACCGCACTGCTGTTGGGGTTCCCAGGCTGTGGCACCCTGAAGGCCCAGAACTGGTAACTAGTGCACTGTCTGGGGGAACAAGGCGTAGCCCCTGCCTTCCTTCCATGCCCGGCAGCTCCACCCGTCGTCCTTGAAAATGGTGACTGGCACAGGGGATGACTGGTTAATTCAGCCCAGAGGATGGGGTCAGCTGGCGGCACACCGTTACAACCCAGCCTGTGAGGTCCTGTCCAGGAGGTGACCTTGAGCCACATGTGGCCGTCCGATCAGACTTCAGCTGCTCAGCCACAGCAGCCCCGGTTCCTCCAGGCGCTGGTGGCTCCTGCACCCACAGTATGTCCCCTGCAGGGAAGTCCTGTTAGACAGCGCTGGCTTGGAGAACCAGAGGAAGCCACCACCCACCCGCTGAAAATAAAGCAAAGCCCCGGGGTGGTGAGAGGACCAACCTGGGACAGTGGTGGAAGGGCCACGGCCACCACTCACCACTCACGGGGAAGCACGTGCTGCCGAGCGCTCCGAGGGTCCGCTCCTGCGCTCACACCTGGGCTCCTGGTAGCATCCAGAGCCGGGGTCAGGCCTTGTCAAACCAACCCCGCCTCCTCTGCTGTTTCTTGGGGCCAAGACTTTTGTTAAGAATTTCACCAACTCTGCTACCAAAAGCTAAACCCCAAAACAAGTCGGGTTGTTTTCTTCTGAAACATCTAGTTCCAAATTCCAGAAACAACAGATGGGCTGCTTGGGCAGGGCCCCGTTTCCCTTCAAAGACACTTTCTGGCCATCAGGGCTGGCTGGAGGATACCACCCTCCCTTGTCATCACAATGTGTCCCCACATAGAAGACACAGCAACCTTCACGAACTACCGTATTTCCCCATGTGTAAGACATACCCTTTTCTGGAAAATTTGGGGTCTAAAAACTGGGTGCGTCTTATACAGTGGTTGTAGTTTTTTTTACTTGCATTTCCTGCTTTTTCGCGCTTGTTGTCTTTGCGTTCATTGTTTCACACTTGTTACTGGTATATTACTTACAGTAGGTTATGTTTTGCCACGTTCTGCCCAGAAATGGCTCGTACAGTGCTGAATTCAAGTTAAACGTGATCAAGCTTGCAAAAGTGAATGGAAATCGTGCTGAACGTTAAGTTTGGTCCTCCTCCAACTGAGAAAACAATCCAAGACTGGCTACAGGAAGAAGAAACCCTACTGAAAATGCCACGGCAGAAGGCGGCCATGAGAGGCAATATATGAAGACAGTGATTCGTCATCAGACACAGATGAGGACAAGCTAATGGTTGGGAGTTTTGACAGTGATGAGGAGTTGTATGAATTTTAGGATGAATAAAGCTTGAGTTCAATAACTTTATGTAATACTTTTTTTTCAAATTTTGGGCCCCGAAATTAAGGTGCGTCTTATACATGGGAGCGTCTTATACATGGGGAAATACAGTAGATCCTAAGCAATCATGGGTCTCTCATTTTTCAAACTGCCCTGTGGCTGAACAAGAACTGTGACTGGTTTTCTGCCCCTTTTCCTGTGCCTGTGTGGTCCCTGCCAGCAGCGCCTGCTAGAGGTCCGGGTCACCTTTTCCACTCCCTGCAACCAAGAGCACCCCATCTCATTTAAGGACTCCACAAAATCATCTGTCAGCCAAATTCAGCCCTCACGCCCCCCGGAAGCGCTGACAACTTCTCACTGCCCTCCCCACCCAATCCACGGGGCAGGCCCCCCACCCTGGAACCCCCGGCCTCAAGGTCAAGGCGGGCCCCTCCACAGCCCATCACACTTATCCCTTCCCCAGCACCGCAGACGACTGCCTTAAAATGTGTCCAATTTTACTTATTTTTGGTTGTTCACATCCTTAAAAAAAGGAATAAATACACTTTTTGAACTTTAGGCAGTCACTCCATCAACATGTTAAAAAAATAAGTTTAATGCAGTGGTTCATGTCACAAAGAATTGAACAGGCACTCCAGACACCGAGCAGCGCTGCTGAGCTGTCAATGCCCAGCACTGCCACGCTGGCATTCAAGGTTGCACCGCCAGACCCCTCCTGCCGTCCTGAGGGTGTGGACACGTGCCCACCCCAGCAAGGGGCTTCAGGGGAGCTCAGCAACGACAGTTAACTAACACAAACAAAGCTTTTAGGAAAGAAACACCACGATTTAGTGCAAGAGATTCTCTGCAGCGCTGACAAGTGGGGCCGCGCAGGTCAGCTCCTCGCCTGCCGTTCGGCAACTCGGACAGACTCGACTCGTCCCTTCCTTCAAGGAGCCTTCCCACTGACCTCAGGGTGACAGTCGCCCGACAGAGCTGGCTATAAATTAAAGAGCACGGTTTACAGCCAAGTATTTTTTGCTTTCTCTGCCTGACTGGCAGACACCTGTCCTGATAGTCCCCCCAGGGCCACTGCCCAAGCCCAGGGGGTGTGGGGATAACTTGGGGTGAAGCAGCAGCAGCCTGTCACGCTCAACATGGAGCCCTATGTCCAGTCCCTGGTCTCTGCCTGCTGACCCAGCATAATTACTCAGGGCACCCTCTCACTTGCCAATGAGGCCCACAGTGGCCACTAAGCCACGTGGCCACCCGATGCAGAAGGCCAGAGCGAGGGGTCTAGACAAGATGCTGGCCCTCTGGAGTGCGTCCTTCTCTGTGACCAAAAGCCCCGCCAGGCCACCACCCTGTTCTTCCCCAGCCATCAGTCCCTGCCTACATTCATCCTTGGTCTGCACGCCCTGGCTGCTCGAACGGTGCCGGGGCAGGAACAGGGGGCAGCCGAGCTTGCAGATCCAGCCCTGGCCCACACCCTCGACCCTAACAGGTGCTTTTAAACACAGGGTCTGACCGTACTTTGTGGTGCACACGCAGAGGCCTTGGTGTGCCTCCCAAGACCTCTGACATCTGTTCCAGACATATAAACCTCAATTCCGGGCACTCCCTCAAAGGCAGGCAGACTGAAAGCACCCCCTGGAAACCAGAAAGAAATGGAGTTGTCTCCCGAATCCCCCATATGAAAAGGCTTGACATTCTCCACAGGCCTGCCCAGGATGAAGACGGATCTGCCCTGGGCCAGGCCATAATCCCTGCCGGACTGCACCTCCGCGAACCAAGGCGACCCTAAAGAGTTGGCCTGGGACTCAAGACCCCCGACACCTTCCAGGGTGACAGGCGGAGGAGGGTCTCAGGCGACCCAGGGTGGAGTGAACAGCTTTGTGGCAGTGAGGTGCATCAGCTAGTGGGGCTCAATGCTTCCCTAAGGCTGGGGCAGGGGCTGGACCCCCTCCAGATTTGCTCCCAAGCAGCACACCCCTCCCAGAGGCCTCCCACACTACGGGTGATGCCAGTGTCCTGGAGAAAGGACAGGGACACAGAGGCTCTCCAGGTGCAGGCTGAACCGACGGGCCCCCACAGCACAGCCTAGAAGAGTGCGGGCTGGACCACAGGGAGGCAGCCAAGGGGACACTGCGCCAGGATGCGCTCACAGGAGGGCCGGGGGAAAAAACCAGAGGGAGGAAGAGGCGCAGTCTCAGCCTGTTCCTCTCCTGGGCCAGAGGCCGGAGGTGTCTGCAGCCCGTCTGCAGGATGGAGTGGGAGAGAAACGGGCCCTGACCTACCCCATCCAGAAAGGAGCACGGCCGCAGGCATCGACCCCATGGGTCACAGTAAACAAGCCCCTGAGCCAGCCGAGGCGCTCGGCCCTCACATGTCCACGAAGACCATGAAGCACCAGCCCAGGCCCCCGACCAGCAGCATGGTCACGTGGATGCCATAGACCAACAGCTCGTTCAGGAGGCGGAAGTCCACGCGCCGGCGGCCCAGCAGCAGCAGCAGCGCCGACAGCTTGAGCTGGAAGCGCAGCAGGACGCGCACGCCCAAGTACTGCAGGCAGAAGAGGGCGGCCAGCGCGCCCCACAGCGCAGCGGTGAAGAGGCTGCAGCTGAAGTAGAGCAGGAAGCGGATGAAGCCGTACAGCCAGCGCGCCCGCACGTACACGTCAAAGTTGTTGTACTTGGTGCGCGCCAGGCGGGAGGCGCGTGCCGGTCCGCAGGCCGCGTGCAGGCAGGTGGTGTGCGGGCCGTGGAAGGAGCGCACCCGCCGCGGGATGGGCATGACCGGCATTGGGGCCGCGGCGGTGGCGCTAGCTCGCAGCGGAGGCGGCGTCCAGGCGGCGGTCAGCGGAGGCGTCATGGGCGCCTAGGCCTGGGAGCCCGCAGCTGAGCCACGGGGGAGGCGTGGGCCTGCAGGAGGGCAACAAGCAGAGGGGCCGAGTCAGCCTGAGGACAACCGGCGGGCCGTCCCTGCCAGGGACATCAGCTAGCCCTAGAACGCAGGACAGCCGCAAACGCTAGTGAGGACACTCCAAAAGGACCCCCATCACGTGGAAACCGAGAGCGCCAACTGCAGCAGCGACGCCGGGGAGGAGGGCCTGGACGGTGGCTGACGGCCGCCCTGGAGGCAGCGGATGCTGGAAGCTAGGCGGGCCCTCCCACTGGCGTGGCACCCGGCTACCTGGCTCGACCCACCCTCTCGCTTTTATTTGGGTGCCCGGTACTGCCTGGACTTCCGAGGCCACTCTATCCAGGGCGACTAAAAGTCCCTCCGTGACACCCCACACAGTAGGACCGGACGAAGGAGCGGGCACGGGCACAGCCGTTCACTTCAGCACCTTGACACCCACGTGCTGGGGACCAGACAACACTGCAAAACGGAGATGCCCACGGCGCTGTGTTCTGGGGCGTGGAGGGAGGCGGATGGCCGCTGACGGCTGTGTGTCGATGGCAGGGCACGGGGCCCCACAGATGGGCTGCAGGGGAGACCCAGCGAGTGGGTCTAGTTTCACCCGGTACCTGCCATTTACAGCTCGCCTAAATAACCTGTGGATGGAAGCGACGCTAGAACACAAGCAGCAAAACTGGTCCCAGGCTACCAGGAGGCGCTGCCAGGGGCGTCGGCCTGGAGCCCTGCAGAGCGGACTCCTGCGAGCTCCCCCTCCAGCCGCTGGTCAGGGCAAATGGCCGCCCGAGTGCTGCGTGCGCCGGAGACGGAGGGGTGGCGAGGCCAGGACGGCAACTCCTCCACGGGCCCGCAGGCCCAGCCCTCCCGCGGGGTTTGGCCAGAACCTGCCCCCAAAGCCGCTGTCCGCTCTCTGAGCTGCTCCATCCAGGCGTCGCCCGGGTCTCACCCGCCACCTCCAGGAACGACATGCAGACAGCGGGTCCCTGTCTGGGGGGGCCACTCAACAGCCGCCCCTCGCTCCCTTCGCGCTGCGGGAATGCGGCCATCCTCCGATGACCACCTGGCCCGCGGGCCAGGCAGCTCCTGGCTCCCGAAGACGTCCGCGCCACGCGCTTGGAGGTGGGGGACAGGAAGCCAAGGCCGAGGCGCGCGGCCCGACAGGAGCAGCTCCATCCCGCCGCCCGCCGCCCATCCCGGGCCCCTGGCCCCGGGCCCCAGGCTCCATCCCGCCGGGACGCTCGGCCGCGCAGGCGGCACCGAATCTCGGATCAACGAGGCGGCTCTGCTCGCTCACCTCTGAAGCAGCCGGCGAACGCGGGGGAAGAACTGACCTGCCGGGTCCCCCCGGGAGCCGCCCGCGCCCGGCTCGTTGCCCTGGAGACGCCCGAGGCACCCCCGCCCGCCCGCTCACCGGGTGCCTTCTCCGCGCCGGCGTCCCGGCCTGCAAGCCCCCGTGTCCCTCGGGGCTCCAGGAGCAGGGCGGCCGCATGGTGCCGACGGCGCGGCGGCTGCGGGGCCCGGTGCCTCACGCGTCTCCACCCGCCCCTAAGGGTCAGGGGTTCCCGCGCCCGGCGGCCGGCGGCGTTTGGCCCAGCGTGGGAGCCGTAGCGAGTCCCTCCGCGGCCACCGTACGAGTTTCCTCACGCCCCTCCGTCCGCTGCGACACCGAGAGCCCCTCCCTTCCCCCAGTTTGGAGCCGACTCTGAACGCCCGGAACTAGACGCTTCCTCAGGGCGTGCGTGAGTGCGTGCGCGCGTGCGCCCATGACGTCCTCACGACGTCACCGCCCCGCGTACGCCGCGGGCGCCTCGGCCTGTCCTGCGCAAGCTCAGATAGTGGGTCTGCGCGTGCGACCCCCTGGCAGCGCCTCCTCAGAGGCGGTTGGCCGTGCGCAGGCGCGCGTCCCCGTGAACGGGGTTGGGTGATGCCGTTCTTCCTGTACCTGGAGAGAGATTGTCCTGCGTCCCGGACCTGGCACGGCCCTACGTGTCTGCGACCGGGAGCGGGTGGGGTAGGGAGCCCGAGCCCGAGGGGGCCGGTAGCGGTGGGCGCGGCGGGGGCGAGTCTGGGGCGGGCTGGCGGATACCCACATGCTCTGGGGTTGCCCTTTCCCAGGAGAAGAAGGATGCTGACGGTTTTATTTATTTATAAATATACTTAATAAATATATAAATAAGTATATTTTTAAAGACATTCAGCGTCATGATCAGATTATTACAGTACATATTTAGCAATCAACAGCATGGGTGCAAAAAAAAAATCTGCATGAAAACCCTTTGTTGGGACGCTTTACACTTTGCACAGAACAGAAACCAAAATAACCTGTTACACACTTAGGCACAAATGCAGTCTGTACACGCGAGTATTGTCTAAAACATGGCTTCTTGGGAGCAGCGAGGCCCTGCTACCGCTGTGCTTGGCTGAGTTCACAAATCCGTCACCTGAGGCCTCCGCGTCACCTCTTGGGCTCTCTTGCTAAGATTTGTTTCTTGGCCTGCTGCCACCGCCATAGCTCCGGCTGCTGCTGGAACCGCCGCAGCCACCTTGGTTTCGTGGTTTGGCAAAGTATTGGCCTCCACCGCCACTGGGGCCGGAGCGTCTGCCTCCAAAGTTTCCTCCTTGCATGGGTCCAAAAGGTGAAGACGGATTGTTGTAACTGCCCAAATCACTGTAGCTCCCCCCACCTCCAAAGCTGCTTCCACCATCACCAAACCCACGATGGCCATCCCCACTGCCACCACCACGCCTGCCACCAAGGCCACCTCGACCACTGGCGTCCCCTCCATGACCAAAGTCGTCGTTCCCACCAAATCCACCTCCCTGACCACCACCGAAGTTTCCGGAACCACTTCGCCCGATGGCCAGATGAGGCACCCGCCATCTCCTGTTTAGACAGGGCTTTCCTTACGTCACGGTCGTGGCCATTCCCAGGACGGCGTTTCCGAATGCCAGTCTTGGCTCCAGCGTCACGGTCATCAGAGGCGCAAAGCCTCTCTTCTCGCCACCGCCTCGGTCGGTCATGAGTTCAGCCGCTCAGTTTCCCCACACTGTTCAAAACCGCCTTTTAGGCAATGCTCTCCAGTGTCATCTCCGATACCACCAGTAACAGTCTCTTTCTCAGTGAGGTGCATACCGGGCCCTTGAGAACCGTCCCTTGAGCCAGCCCTCTCCGGCCCCACAGCTCTCCTGTCCCCGTGCGGCCTTCGTGGCTGCGTCCACCCCTCCGCAGACCGGCTCCTCGTCCTCTGGCTGGCCATTTCAGCACTGACCCTCCGATGGAAAGCTTCCGCAGCCGTTGGGAGACTCTGACCCAGACGTGACGACGGCGGGAGGGGGGGCTTGAACGACCCTACTCCGTGTCTTCCCCTGGCAGAAAGGCCCACGCAGGCGTTTTTAAATATTTTACTCCTACGGAGGTGTCAGGAGTGGGAGACACTTCTCCTTGGACGTAGCTGATAAGTTCCATCCGCCTGAATTCCATCACGTTCAGAGATTCTGCAAGTTCCACACAGGTGGAAACGCTGTCTGTCCCTGGGGTGGCGGGGAGTTCCGGTCTTGGTCTCTGTTTTCATTCCTGGATGCCCTACGTGAGGCCAGATCCTCCGGCGCCCTGCACAGAAGACAACTGGGCACTGACCCCCTTCTGGCTGACCGCCGGGGCCGCAGCCTCTCCACCTGCAGGAGCTAAGTGCCTGCACGTCACCTAATTGAGCCCTCATCCCAACCTGCCGACACCCAGTCCCTGTCAAGTGCAAAGGGCCCAATATCCGTGGCACGTGTGGTCCTGACCCTTGGGTTCCTGCCCCGTGGTGAGGATGGTCTGGCGGGGTCAGGATGGAGAGGAGACAGAGAGGCGAGGAGCCCGAGGCCCAGAGAGGTTTGAAAAGTGTCCAGAGCAGCTATGAAGCAGCGGCAGGCGAGGAGGGAGAGAAGGGAAATGTTTTAAGACATTTTCCTCGAACGCATCTTCTCTGTGGGCTGGTCTCTGCAAGGGTCCCTGCTCTGCGCCCTGACCCACCGACCTGCTGTGGCGGTTTTCCTTTCCAGCCCCGGGACCAGTACCGTCCTGTTGGGATGCCCCTCACAGGCACCCTTCTCAGCTCTGTGAGGAAGCCCCGTTGTTCCAGCCCATGGCTTGCCCCTTCGTGTTTGCCTTTACTGTCCCTCTGCCCCTCCTCGACCTGCCAATCTCCTACTCACCCTTCAGGATCCCAATCAAATAGCCCCTTCTCTGGGAAGCCGCCTCCAACCGGGTGCCACCCCTTCCCTGGTACCCACTACCCCCGACAAGGGGGCATTCTAACGACTCTCTAGCCCCAAAGCTGCAGATTCATTTATGAACACTTCTCTCTCACCAGCTCACTTTTCTTACCACAGTAAGATGGATTCCTACCTTGCAACCCAGTCCACACGTGCCCATGTTTTAAAAATTCCAGAAGCTTCACAAAATAACCCCATGCACTCTGATATGTTCTGTCGTTTCATTCCGCAGAAGCTCTAAATGACACCCATCTGTGGCCTGACCACCCCCAGGTCAGGAGCCCCCAGAACGTGGCTGTGTCCTCAGGGCCAGCTCCATGGAGGGCCTCAAGGCCCACACACATGCTGTTAGGTTGCAGGCTTGCCCTGGCGCAGGGTTCCCCATCTCCTCCCGGGGCATCCCCCTTCCCCAGGTCAGTCCCAGGCCTAGCTGCTGGCAGTGGCCTGGCGCCACCTGCTGGGACTGTGTATGCAGTGCAGCAGGTTTCAAGGCAGAGCTGGAAATGGGGGCCCCCCCAGGGCCAAACCCCGCCACTTCTGGTCATCTGTGGCTGCTTTCTGGAAATTTGGTTTACCCAGCTTTAAATGGGCATCTATCCCCACTGTCTGGTGCCGGGTTTGGGACGGTTTTCGGGTTGCCCCATCCCTCCACTTGCTGGCACAGAGGCACAGTCCTCATCACGGCTCTGCAGTCACCTACTATTGGGAGATTTTCTCCCCTTAGCTTTAGGCTGCCTTAGTGACCAGTACCTGAGGACCACGGGATGCCTCGCGAGTGGGGTCAGAGGCGAGTGGGGTCAGAGGCGGCCCAGAATCCATCTTGGCCTCCTGGACAGTCCCTGGCAACACCCAGCTGCTGTGCTGAAGTGGGGGCACTTGAGGAGCACATGGGGACCACGAGGGAGTCAGTGGGGCCTGGTGAGGACCATGTGGGTGGTCACATGCTAGGCAGTTGAGGACCACATGGGGGGCATGAAAGGGGCACGTACAAGAGGCCATGTGGGACCACATGGGGGGCACTGGGGGCCCATGCTGGGGGCACGTGGCTGTCACGTGGGGGACCATGGTGGGGGCTGCAGTGCTGAGCCCAGCTGCCGCCAACCTTTGGGTGTTCCGTGTAGGCATCAGAACTGCGAGTGAAGGAGTGTCAGGTGATTGTGGCCCCCGCCCTGCATCACCACCACCCACATGCGTCTTCCCATGAGCCCCCAGAGGGCACAGAGCAGAGACGCGCTGTCTGCACCCTGGCAGGGTCCCCGCCCCATGGACTGTGTGAGCAACACAAACTGGTTGCTGTATTCCGGGAAATTGGGGTGGTCTGTTCCGTGCCCAAATGGTTTGAGCAGAACTATGTATCACCTCAAATTATTGGAACAACCCACCTGCCAGGTCTGGCTCTGGCCTCACCCCTTTCTAGCTGGGACAATAGCCCTCCATTCTCCTGGCCAGCTTGAGCCTTTGAGGTGTTTGGGGGGAGGGAGAGTGGCCTCCCATCCCACCCCCACCTGTTCCTCCCCTCCCCGCTCTCCCCCCGAGCTTCTGGCTCTCCCCATCTTTCCAAATCCAAGGCCGGCTGGAGCTGGTCACTCACGCTCAGCAAGGTTGTGCTGGGTTGGGAGGCCCCCCGCTGCCGGGCCCAATCCCACCCCTCTGGAGCTGAAGCTCCTGGGGACAGACAGCTCCTGTTACCTGCTGTCTCCCTGGTCCTGGTACACAGCTGGGCCCAGCGCTACTGGGTTGGTTTATTGGTTGGTTGGTTGGTTGGTTGGTTGGTTGGTTGGTTGGTTGGTTGGTTGGTTCAAGTGCCTGACTTGTGCTGGGCATTCAAAAATGCAGGCCCAGGCTTTGGAGAGCAACAGGCCTCAGCCTGGCATTGCCTGGTGACATCATGACATTTAACCCACCAGGTTCAGTCCAGGCCCCACACACACAACCTGTGCACAGTGCAGGATACAGAGCGCTGGGGAATCGGACCCAGGTCTATGGGCTTTGTGAGTGACGCTGGGGACTGTCCAGGGCAGCTAGATTATAGTCTATAGATTACAGATTTGCCCTCATTTCAGAAGTGTGCCCCTCACCCGCCCCCAAGCTACAAGAGGCAGCTCTGAGGAGGGGTGAACTACTTCACCTTCCCAAGGGAGCTGGACAGCGCCTGGACCCCAGCCTCTCACGGGGGTGAGAAAGAGGCCACACAGCCCAGCTTCTCGGTGGCTCTGACCATCTCAGGGGCAGCAGGCCCTTGGTCATTTAATGGCTGTGCCATCCTAAAACCCAGACCCAGGGGGCACGAGAGGCTTGCATTCAAGGTTAGCACTCACCTGGGTTTGGCCCCTTCCAGCTGCCCAAGTGTCCCGGCTGTATTTTCCTCCCATGCTAATTTCACAAAAGACACAGCTCACCCTCCTGTTGACTGAGCAGCGCTGCACTGACAGGAGGCAAGATCTGTGGCAGAGTTATCACCATGCAGAGCGTGGGCGACCTGTCTGGTCCCAGGAGCCCTGCCAGGAGGATGTATTTTACGGCAGGCTCAGAGGACAAACATAAGCATTTATATGTCACTTGTTGCAATATAAATGCTAACTTGTACTTCTTTCAAAACTTTTAATGAATTGTATACATTCCAGAAGATTTATAGGGCCAATGCATTGCTCAAAATGTTACTTTTCATGTATTTGTCACTTTGGTAACAACATCGAAAAAAAAACCCTGGAAGATATTGCATTCAAAAATAAATCATAAATAGATGCATCTTAAAAGAGGTTTATTTTGGTCGTTAATGGTTGATGGCCCCCCAGCGCAGAATTTAAAGTTAAATTATGCAAAATCAAAAACCAACCTTATAATACTTAATCAAACATGCATAAAACTGTCAGGCCCAAATAAATCCTCTCAATTAACTTGCTTCAGATTGTGATTGCATTCGCTAATTTAATCAGCCCTGGAATAATCTGCAGGCCAGAAATGATGAATGGCTGCGAACGGCACACCACCAGCAAGTGCGTGGCAGGACCCCAGCGGACAGGGGGTCCTTACGGGGGGGGGGGACCTGTGCATTGTGCTTCCTGTCTGCCTGAGGCCACACACCAGGTGTCACTCAGAGCCTGCTAAAGACCCCCTGGTCCAACAGGACTGCCCAGACCCCAGCAGATCACAGATACCTGAGACCTGCATAAGGACCTGTGCTTTAAGAAGGGAACTGAAGCTTTGTAGGGTATTTTGTTTCTTTTTGTAAATTTTAGTGAATCTATTTGAACCAGAACCAAATCTGCTTATTGTGTCATTCTAGCCTAGAAAAAAGGGAAAAGATGGAGACAGAGACAGAGACAGGGACAGACACAGAAGACAGGGGGCTCATGCGCCGCTCTTTGGAGCTGACCATGGGTGGGCTGGGTCACTCTTTGGTTCAGTCTGAGCTCCTAACTGCCACTTGTGTCTTAGGACCTCACCTTGGGGCCATCTCCTCACCCCCAAGCACCCCTCTGTTCTCCTTTTCCCACATTTTGGCAGAGGGTCTCTGTTAAGCCAGCAGCACACACTCTGCCTCCCCCACTTCCCAGGCCCCCTGCAGGACCTCCCGGGAGGACAGCTCAGCCCTGGGACCCTGGACAGCAAAGTGGTGGCCTGTGTTTCTTGGCACCTGCTCTCTGGCAGGCGAATTGCTTTATTTTCCTTAGTTGTCCAGGTGGGCATTATGTGGCACACCTGGTTTGCATTCTGCTTCCTCCTCACCTGGCCTTATATAATGAACAGTTCCCATGCCAATGAACACTCTTCACGTATCTGGTGCGTAAGGGCCACGTGTGTCCCATATCCAGTGTCCCGTCACTTAGCTGACCCACATCCTCTGATTGGACATGTGTGTTGGCGCTAGTTTTTGTTCTATAAATAATGCTGTGTGCACGCACAGTTCACGTCCCTCCAGATGATGGCTGACGTGTGCTCCTGTAAGGTTCCTGATGCTGGCTGTGGCAAACCCTGCTCCCTGCTGCCTGGCTGCAGTGGATGACAGACAACAGAGGGGCAAGGTTCCAGGCTGGGGGCTCCCTGCCTGAGGTTTTGCCATCGCCACCCTCACCCGCTCTCCCTGGGACAGACAGTCCCCTGAGAACCAGCCAAGGGAATCATGTCTCCTATCATTTCTAAAACAAGCAACAAAGAACCCCCAAACCTTGGGGAAAGAAAGCCTCCCCGTTACCGCCGGTGAGGAGCAGGTTCCAAGGACAACCACCAACATGGCCGGTGGTGCCACACTCGTTCTGGGGGCTCAGGGGCATCTCTGGAAGGAAAGGCCCAAGGCTGTCTGAGCAGATGCTGAGTTCCCCATTTGGAACAAGCAAAAAAATCACTCTCAAGGAACCCCTAAAAGTGGCCTCCCTGACAGTAGTTCTTGTCCCTAAACTGACAACTAAATAAAGCAATTTGCCTTTTCCAGGGGCGTGCCCTGCTCACCAGACCCCTTGGTCCCCCATCCCAGCTGGCCTCTTGCACGCCAAGACCAGGCTGGCCCTGCCTCTGGGTGAGTGTGTGTGTGTGTGTGTGTGTGTGTGTGTGTTGAGGGGGCAGCAGTGAGGGGACTTGATGCAGAAGCCAACAGCCCAGGAATGGGGAGCAGAGGGCGATCCAGAGAAGGAACAGCCCCACAGCCCGAGGACAGGGAGCCGGGGAAGGAATGAGCTTTGTGCAGGCTGCAGGGTGAGTGGGGCTCAGCCAGGCCAGAGGGGATGCAGACTCTTCTAGGCAGGAGGTTAGGAAGCTTTGCTCTCGGGGTGCTGGGGAAGAGAGCATAGAGGCCATGCGTGGGTGACATGTAGCCATTACCTTTGCCCGGACACTTCCTGTTGAATGTTGCCCATCTTTTCTCAGCATCAACCCTGGAGCTAAAAGAGAGAGGCAGTGTCACCAAGGGTCCTAGGTCTTCCAGCCACTCTGGGGTTTGAGGGTTTGGTGGAGAAAATAACCCAGGCAGAGCCTAGGAAGGGACAGAAGCAGCATGTCACTGTGCAGTGCTTGGGAACCCTGGTGCTAGGGGACACCCTGGCTTTGTTCAAGTCCCTAGCTGGCCGAGGCAGCAGCCTAGGCCTGGGTAGCAGTCACCCATTCAGTGTCCTTGTGGGGTCCTCGGCTCCCATGGGGAAGGAAAGCCCCGGGACTAGGAAGGTCCAGGTGGAGGCATCATGAGCAAGAAAGGGTCCTTGGGGGCCAGTTTGTTGCCCCTCCGAGGGGAGCAGTGGAAGCTGTGTGCCCTGGACACAGCTGCAGGGGCCTCGGCCATGCTCCTGTGTCCCCAATGGCAGTGTCCCCTGAGACGGGACACTCCTAAGCACTGACCCTCTCGGGCGGGGGCCCTCATATCCTGCCGAACCTCCTGAATCTCGCCACCACTGGGGCCCAGCTATAGGCTCCCTGTGCGTGCGCATGGGGGGCAGTGTGCACACACCACTTAGGGCAACCCTCCATATCACTGGAGGGGTGGTCGCTTCCCCTCAATGAAATAATCAAGACCAAGTGCTCTTGGGACAGGACAAAAGTCGGATGTCTCGGGACATTAACTCGTCCGTGTGCAGCTGACATTAGGGCAAAGGAGGGCCTTGTCCCATCGCTCCTACCCATGTCCTTAAGCCGCTGCCGGCTCCTGGGAGAGCCAAGGGCGTGCAGGCCCAGGACTCAGGTGCTGGGTGGAGCCTGCCGTGACGGCGGCCCCGGGGCTCTTCTGCACCCACCTTTGCGAGGTGTGCAGGGCCGGCTGCTCAGCGGGGCTCCCTGTCCGGCCTGGGTCTGGAGGGAGGCCGCCCACGGCCCGCCCCGCCCGCTCCCGGGAGCGGTCAGCACGTGCAGGGGGCGCAGCCCCTCGCAGGCCCGCGTCGTCCCGCAGGTTCTCCAGATGAAATGATACAGCATTGGGCGCTCACTCCGGGGCGGGCCCGCTCCATACACCGAAGACCGGGTGGCCCGCAGGCCCGCCGTCGGTTTACATGCGGCGGAGCGATTGCCCAACGCCGCCCCGTTCTGGCGGGAGGCACCAGCCCGAACGGGGTGCATCGTCCCGGAGCAGCTGCGCAACTCGCGCCTGCGCAGTGCGGCAGGAGCGCTCCCTGCCGCCTCCCGCCACCACGACTGTGGGGGACGGCGCTGCGGGACAGGAGGACCCCGCGGAGCGCAGGGGTGGCCGCCGGGACCCAGGCTCCACGCGGAGACGAACAAGGATCCCGCGAAGCGCCTCGGTCCCGCCGCTTCCGCTCGGCCTGGCTGTGCGCGCGGCGGCCGGCAGGGGGCGCCCCAGGCCGGGATGCGCGCTCGGGCCTCGGCCGCCGAGTGCGTGGGGTCCGCCCAGCCCCGTTAGGCAGCGTCTCCCCGAAACGGCGCGGATGCGAGGCAGCTCAGCACCCTGGAGCACCCGGGCTTCCCTCTCTGTCCCGGGGCCCCCGGGCAGGTCGCTGCCTCTTTCTACGCCTCAGTTTTTTCCCTCAGCTAAGTGTGACCTGGCCTCAGGGAGTCAGCACGATTTTGGGGGTGCGCCCCTGCGGGTCAGGGTGCAGCTGCTCCGGGGTCCCATGCTTCCTTGGAGCACCTCGTGCGCCCCTGAGCAGAGCGCTGAGTCCAGAAGGGACTTGCACCCTCTTACATGGGGACGCCTGGAGCAGGGGCGGGGGCCGCAGGTGTGGGGGGCGTGGCAACACCGAGGGGAGGGCTGTGCGTCCCGGAGTCGCACCTGAGCGGGGCCCGCAGGACCTCACCAGGCAGGCCCGGTCCCTGGAGGCCCATGTCCCTCTCTGCCCCCCCCCCCCCCCCCGTGGGCTCGGACACCCTGGCGGAGCCGTCAGCGGGGGCTCGAGCCGCGGTCAGTCCGCCAGCGCTAGGGGGCGGCCGTGCCCTTTTCCGCCCGGCTCTGGGGACCCCGGTGAGCGCGCCGCGGAGGTGAGGGTGGTCACAGCGGGGATGGGGCGGTAGGACTGACTCCCTTTGCAGCCGCCGCTCCCAGCGCCAAGACGCTCCCCACTAGCGGCCTGCAGGGGGCGCCCGCTGCCTTCCTCCTGAGAGGAGGTTGTCACCAGGTGGAGTGTGGAGGGAGGGGCTGCAGGCGGCAGCCTGCGTGTGCTCAGAACCCGAGCCTAAGGCCCATCCTTCAATCGACAGCAGAGAGACAGAGAGACACAGACAGACAGGGAGACAGAGGCAGAAAGGTGGGAGGCCCCGCTTCACGGGTGAAAAGATGGAGGTTGAATGAGAAGCCCACCGGCGGACAGGGTGAGGATGCGCAAGGCTGGCGCCGGACAGCCACTGAGGAAACAGGGTGGGGTCAGGGGTCCAGAAACTTGTTCCTGGCGTCTCCTCCTGCCCAGGGGAGGGGGCACATGGGGGAGATGAGCCTTAAACGACCTTCGATTAAAGGACGGAAGCATGGCCGGCCATTCGGGCTGCTGGGTACTGAAGGAGCCCTCGGCCCCGCAGCTGGCAGTGCCGCTGAGAAAGTCAGTGGTCCTCGGACCGGCTGCCAGCCTTCCAGGGGTGCCCCTACTCCATCCCGAGCGACTGCCTGGCCCAAGGGTCTCCCTGTGGGTGATCAGGGCTGCCCAGGGGGTTTGGGGCACACCAGGCAGCCCCAATCCTGCCCACCGTGTCCTGACCATCCCACCCAGTCCCTTGGATTTGAGACAAATATCTGTTGCGTGAACGAGTGTTCCTGGCACAAGGGGGCCTCGCTCACAGACATGCGAGGCCTGGGAAAGACAGTTCCATTAGGTCTGGGTGGGGGGATGGCTTGGTGAGTTCAGAAAGGCCTCTTATAGGAGATGGTCTGATAAAAGCCTTTAAGTAATAATGGCAGAAGGGTTACACCCCTGAGGGTTCCACTCCACACACACACACGCACACACACACACACGCACTATTTTAGAGCAGTTTTAGTTCACAGCAAAATTGAGAGGAAGGAACAGATTTCTGGTTTATCCCCTCCCCCCTCATGTATAACCTCCCCCACTGGTAGTGTCCCCGCCAGAGTGGCCCATTTATTACAGCTGATGCGCCTATGGTGACATGTCCATAGTCAACATTAGCGCTTACTCTTCGTGTACATTCCATGGGTTGGGACAAATGTCTATTGTCCTGTGCCCACCATTCTGGCATCACACAGAGCAGTCTCTGCCCTAAAGTCCCCTGTTCCCCACCGGCCCGCCCCTCCCCCGAGGCTCTGGCTTCACCCTTTCGTTTGAATTCTCTCGTGGGAATATGGCCTGATGGACTAGGATTCACGCTCTTCAGATGAGGAGTTGCAGGCTCGGGGACACGGAGCCCTCACCCTCAGGACTGACCGCCCGTGTCGGCGCACAGCCCCCCGTGGCAGTGCCCAAACTCCAGGCAGAGGACACACACCTGGGAAGTCTGGCTTTGCCAGGTCCTGCGGTGGCCCCTCCGGTGGGCTGCTCATACTTCTGGGCAGAACCACAGCCACAGTGAGTTACTCAAAGGCCAATTGAAGGGCCAGGGCAGCAGTAGGCCCTGGGGGACACACGGTGGCTCTCAGTCAAGTGCAGGGAGGTCTACAGCACACTGGCAGTGAGTGGTGAGTGGGATCTGTGCACAGGCTCAGATGTCTGTGGGATGAATGAATGACTACGTGAATGGAGGAACGCCTCCTTATGTGAAGCCAGAGGCCCCCACCTGGCTGTCAGAGCTGTAGAGACATGGCGTGCCCCCCCCCGTGTCTACCCCTCCCACCCCTACGGGGCCATTTATCTGTAGACCCGGTCCCCACGGGGGACAGAGCTCCACAAGAGCTCCCATCTGACCCGCCACGGAACACTCACCCTCCTCAGGCCAGCTCCAGGTAACAGTTGGGGCCTGTCACCCCTGGGGGGAGACCTGCCACAGTGGCCCTGCCTCTTGCTGCGTGAACAATGCAGCCGGGTCCTGCGACTGTTGATATCAGCACTTCAGAGTTATTTATGAATGCATCTATTTGCCGGGACAAGCCTTCGCGCATTCGGTTGCCATGGTTGCCTTAAAGCCGGTATCTTATTAATTCTGCATGTTATAAAATAAATATAGATCAGACAATCGCAGCGAAGGTTCTTTTTTTATTATGTAGTTTGGTTCTCGGCGCCTGGGGTAGGACGCTTCCAGCACACAGCGTCACAGCGACACACATCCATCAGAATCTTGGGGTCTGGGGGGACGGGGCTCATAAAGCCTGAGAACTGGGAAGGGGACCACACAACAGAGCTGCAGTGCAGGGGTGAGGCTTGAAGGACCCAAGCGGCCTCAGCAGTTCTTGAAGGGCTCCCCACAGCTGGATGGGTGGTGGCAATAGCGAGGGAGGTCGGGTCTCCTCTGGGGCGCTGCAGCTGGAGTTGCAAGGCAGAAGTGAATTGAAGCCACCCCAAATTGCTGGGTGGACCTGTGTGGTCCTGCTGAGCCAAGGGTGCCCAGGGTGCGGGGCCCACTTTGTTGCCCAGGGGACAAGTCACTGGAAACAGCACAAGCGTCCTGATGTCCCTGGGATTTCAGGCTGGTCCAGGAGGGGTCCTCCAGGATGTCTTTTGTTCAGCCAGCTGCGTTGGTTGATTCTAGCTTCTGGTCTTTTCGTTCTTTCAGGCACTTGCGAAGGGGCTTCTGTGCCCAGGATGGCCCAGACCCCACTGATTCCATGTCCAGATTTACAGAAGCGCAGAGGTGTGAGACCACAAGGACTCCAACGCAGGTGTGCAGGTCTGTCACTGCCCGTGCTGGGCCCTCGCTGGTGCTCCCCAGGCTCTGAAGCAAAGCCTCCCTCATGCACCCTGAGCTCTTGGGCCCCCAAAAAGCTGCCCCAGGCCTGTTCCCCAGTCCAGAGCAGACCAGGCAGCTGCCCCCTCCTGCTGGCCACCAGGTCACCTAGGGCTGGGCAGTGGGAGGCCTGAGGCCCAGTGGGCAGCAGTACCCAGTGCCCAGTCTGGCACTGCCAGTGTCTGTGCAAACGCGGCCGCTTTGGCCAGGCCAGGCCTTTGCTTGCACTGACCACTAAGATCCAGGGTCAGGGCTGGGGAGCTTGAGGAGCCCAGGCGGGCAGGCGGGGTGAGTGGGCAGGGGAGCCATCCATCCTCAGCCAGGGCCTGCAGGGGGCTGCGGGCAGACAGGATGGGTCACTCAGAGCCTATGCTGAGTGGCCTGTGAACACCGCTGTGGCTAGGGCATCAACGAGACCCCTGGAGACAAGGCCGTCGGCTGCCCCAGGAGAAGTAGAGGGGAGGCCCCCAGCCCACCCCCCGCCACCAGCCTGCTGTGTCGCTGGCTCTCACGTCTTCCCTTGGCCCCTCTGTCCACGGTCTTTCCAGCTGGGCAAGAGGACCCTCTCCGGGGCCTGGTGCTTTGGGGCAGGAACACAGGTGCCATGCCCAGGGGCCCAGTGACACACGCCCACCTGCTGCCAGTCCCCGGGCATGCGGCCCATCGAGCCCCTCCAGCCAGTGCTTACATGGTCTCCTCAGACGCTCCCAGCCCCCCAGAGCCTGATCAGGGCATCGACGGAGCTGCACTTGCCATTTAATTAAGCTTAGTTTAATTAAAACCTGGGGTTCTTCATTAGACTCGGTAATTGATTTAATTTTCTGTGGAATTCAAGTGCCAAACACTTCTATCGTGTGAACTCCCAAATTCTGGGGGGTGGAGATAGACACACAAAGAGCGCAAGCTTTTGGGAGTAGGGAGGCCTGCTTCCACAGCTCTGGTGACAGGGTCCCCCACCACTGTCCCTCCCCCACCACTGCCTCCTCCTCCACCTCTCCCCTCCCACCCCCCTTCCCCCTATCCCCCATATTAGATTTTGTCTGTTGAAGGTTCCCACCCGAGCTAGGGGCTCCCCTCAACCAGGAAAGCTGGGCAGGGCCCAGCCAGCGCCCACCGTTGCTGCAGTGAGATTTCCAGAAACCCTACCGTACAAGTACCTGCAGTGCGGAGGCCTCTGTAGGTGTCCCCAGCCTGCGGGGAGGACAGGGGTCTCCTCGGGTGGTCCCAGAGGACACTGACATGTGTTCTGACTCTGGACCTCTGGATGAGGAGTGAGGGGGGTGGGGCGTGAGGAACCCACTTTCTTCCCGCCTGGCTGCCCCAAGCTCCCTCCCAGCATAGGGCAGAGTGGCCCCGAGGGAGGTGTCCTGGACAGTCCTAGGATGCTTTGAATGCCCCCTGCTGGGATCTTCCCAGAAGGTGGAGTGCCCAGCATGACTGCACTGGGGCTTGATGGCCACTGGAAGCAGGGAACCCACAAAACATGGAGAAGTG